AATTTTATAACCGACACCCTGCCATGAAGCAAGAGGGAGATGCTCAATCGCTCACAGCCCACTGTATCTAGGCTCTGGTTCCTTCCCCATCCCACGTAGCAGTTTCCCGCTATGAAAACCAATACCCAGACCTCCTTTGCAAACGCTGATCCTACTCCTGCTGCCGACGGTATCCCTTCCTTCTTTCAGCGAACACTAACACGGCATACTGATTTGCCGTCGAAGTTCAACGCAGCCAAACAGACTCCCTCCCAAGTAGTCGAGATGACCAATATCCTACAACATGCCGATGCACGCGTAGTCGAGATCTTTCCTCCTACCAGCACGCAGACCCAGTTGCCCCGGGAAAACGAGATGACCTTTCCTCCTCCAAAGCGGCACTGGCGGCACTGACCTACCTCTCGCATGCCAGCCACAAAAACTCATTCAGGCCACAACTGTTCCCTCAACGGGGCTCTCGAAAACCAGCCACACGAACACCACCTGTTCGAATCCTACTGTTGGTACGTACCTCCTTCCCTATCTTTCACTTATCTTCCTACGTTCGATCTCTTTCATCGACAAACTTCGGTCTTTGAGGGGAACACTTGCAGTGGCTTTTGCAGTCACTTGGAACCCAAGATCAGCCTCTGACTCATGGAGCCTTTAGCCTGCCTGCGCGCCCACCACCTCCTGGTGCTAGGCGCTAACTGTCCTGGACCGACGCGCACGTACGCCTCAGCGTGAACGCGTGCCCACGCTAGCCAGTCCCACTCCATCTCAAGGTCGCGCGCCCACGCTAGTTTGGACATCAGCCGTGTCATTGGCCGCCGTAACAAAGTATGCACCGATATTGTGGCGATGCCTGATTCCCTCGTCACTCCGGAACCGACCCGAATAGGGAACGGACGCACTTCCCCACGAGTCAACACTCTTTCCATCTATTCTTCTATCCTTCTGCAGAAAAAAACTATTTCTAACAATCCGGCTTTCACACCGTCTTCTCTGCTCTCCTAAAAGAACCATGGGCCTGGGAGATCGTAGCTGTTAGGGTAAACGTTCTTAGCCTTAACACCTATAAGACTTTAGCCCTAACCAGACGAAATCAGCCATTGTCTACCGAATCAAGTGCATTTGCGGGATGCGGAAGTACTTTGCAGAAGCCTACCGACTGCTACAAATGCCAATGCATGTGAATCTGTTAACTGTTAGAAAGTTGCACCCAAAGTTGGACGTAGCAACTTGTGCTGCAGAGATGGGGCATATCTTCAAATTTGGCGCCGATACAATTGCGGGCCGATGTGACCATTGTAGATCAAGGCGGAGAAAAAAGGTCGGGGTATCGATCGAATGTTCCGTATACCCCCTATGCGGTGGAATGAACAGTCCTGTCCGGTAGCGGTCACCGCGTTAAACAATCGAAGCCATCAACTATCTCTGAGGCCAAAGTGTACGGGCGTGAAACAAGCCATAGTGAGACGCTGGTAGAAGTGACAAAAACAACCACCAACTAGCGCTGCAGTGAAACAAACAATGGCGACAAGGGACAGACGCCGACTAATGTGCGGTCAACTTGGAGCACGACTGCGGCTACAGACAAAACAGGTCATCGTGTCAACAACCAGAAGCCACTTGTTTTGCGAGAAGCAATATTTTTCCACGCGAGTACGAGCAACAGTTGTGACCTGCACGCAGGCGACTTTTCTGGATGGACAGGCGACGTAATTCCCATCGTTTGTTTGACCTTGCTTTATTGGCAACGGCGCCAGATGCTGAAAGTAAGTTTTGCCAAACTCAGAATTCTCAGACTGACTGACTTTCTGAAAAAGGCTTCAAAAGTAGGACTTTGAAGGTGAACATGACTTCGAGTGTCTCCGTCCAGTGAGCACGCATACATCTCGACTATACTGCTTACTGACAATTCTCAAAGATGATACATCCATTTATCCTATCGTAGATATGAGCACCTCATCATACCATGCGATCACAAAATGGCTAGCGGAGGAACTCAAGCCCATGCGTTTACCAGCGACCTGAAAATATGGTGGTGGTTTTACTTACCTGCCAGCCAGAGGAACACTCAAGTCCTAACTCCGAATCAGCAGCACATATAAATACAAGCGAGTGCTCCCAAGGTAATACTATTAGGACGATACTTTGAATATGCAGTGCGGCCTGGTAGGCACTGGCACTTTTTCTCGATTCCGATTCCCTGTCGGTACATGCGTTCGCGCTCCCACTGGGTTTCAGGCCCCAACTCTGGTGCCCGAGCAGCTAATCGGTCGCTAGACAGTGGAAGAGAGTGTTAGGTCGGCCCTCAGCTCGCTGCTCTCCTCACTATAATAAATATGAATGCGCTTGAATGTATCACGTTGCGCTAAAAGCCGTGGCTTGGAGGGTTAGCCAACTGACGAGATAACTCGGGCCACCTACGTCGCTGCTCCTCTGGTACGCCTGTGTTTGTGTGTGCGTATGTGAGGAGATGGAGGACTGAGTGTCAGGCTGCAATGGCTCTTTCTTAATGTGGACTTTTATGGCGCTCCCGCACACGCGGGAGCCTACTAAGCAAAAAAACTCAGGCAGTTTGAGTTACTATCGCACCAGGCACCTACACCCTCCCTCACCCCTGGTCTTATTGACTTTGCATTCCTTGCTTTCTTTTGCATGCACACTCTCATCGATCGCTCTGCCTAGCTCGTCTCGGAGTTTATATCTGATGTTGAAAACGTCTTCACTCAGCGCGGGATGACGATTCTGGTAGCCAAGTCTTTCGACACTGTTGTCACGTGTCACCCGGTCATCACCCTTAACGGTGCA